GCTTTGAATATTCCAGGTCCTTTGTATTCCTATAAAATATTAGACCCATCTTGTTAATTTCTTCAAGAAAAGCCTACTGAGATTGGGTTTAGGATTGGATTGAACCTATAGATCAATTTTGGGAGAAATTACATCTTAGAAATACTGAGTTTCCAAATCCATGAACTTGGTCTCTCACTCTCCATTTATTCATATCTTCTTTAATTTTGCTCAGCAATATTTTTACTTTCAATTTAGAGGTCTTAGATGCCTTTTGTTAGATTTATTCCTAAGTATTTTACGTTTTTTGATGCTATTATAAATGGTCTTTTAAAAAATTTAATTTTCTAATTGTTTGCTGCTACTAAGAAATACAATGAATGTTTGTATATTAACTTCACATCGTGACTGTATTAGTTTGCTAGGGCTGCTGTAACCAACTACCACAAACTGGGTGGTGTAAAACAACAGAAATTTATTATCTCTCAGTTCTGGGTGCTAGAAGTCTGAAATCATGGTATCGACAGGGCCATGCTGTCTCTGAAGACTGAAGGGGAATCTTTTCTTACCTCTTCCTAGCTTCTGGGGCTTTGCCAACAACATTTGGCAGTCCTTGGCTTGCAGCTGCAGAACTCCAATCTCTGCTTTTGTTGTCACATGGCATTCTCCCTGTGTGTCTGTCTTCACATGGCCATATTCTTATAAGGACACCAGTTACATTGCATTAGGGGCTCACCCTACTCCAGAAAGACTTCATCTTAATTTAACAAATCACATCTGCAATCATCCTATTTCCAAATAAAGTCACATTTTGAGGTACTTGGAATTAGGACTTCAACATATCTTTTTTTTGGGGGGGTCGGGGTAGGAAACACAATTCAACTTTGCTGATTTTATGTATTAATTTATAGACCTCTATAATTTGTTTTTGTAGATACATTGAGGTTTTCTATGTAAACAGTGATATCATCCAAAAATATCATCTGTCTAGTTTTACTTCTTTCTTTATGATCTTTATTTTTATTGCCTTATTGAAATGTCTAGACCTCCAGTACAATGTTGAATAAAAATGGTGAAATCAAACATTTTTACCTTGTTCCCAATCTTAAAGGGAAACAACTCAGTCTTTAAACATTAAATGTGATGATAGATGTAGGCTTTTCCTAGATGCAGCAAAGATTTTAAAGCAACTATTATAACTATGTTCAAGGATTTAAAGGAAAAGATCCTCATAATAAGTGAGAAGATAGGAAATCTCAGCACAGGAAAAGAAACTTAAAAAAAAAAACAAATGGAAATTCTAGAACTGAAAAATAGAATATCAGAAATAAAAAATTTACTGGATGGGCTTAACAGCAGAAGGGAGGTGATAGAGAGGTCAGTGAACTCAAGATAGATCAATAGAAATTATCCAGTCTGGACAATAGAGAGAAAAATGATTGATTGAATAAATGAAAAGAGTCTCATGGACCTGAGGGGCCCTGAGATAGATCATAAGACCTATCATATGTGTCACTGGAATCCCAGAAGGAGCAGAAGGAGAATGGGGGCATGTATTACTTTTCTGTCACTGCTATAACAAATTGCTACAAACCTGGTGGCTTAAAATAACACAAATTTATTATATTACATTTCTCTAGGTTAAAAGTCCCACAGAGGTCTCACTGGGCTAAAACCAAGGTGTCAGCAGAGCTATGTCCTTTTCTGAAGGAAAATCTGCCCCCTTGCCTAAAAGCTGAAAAGCTTTTAGAGGCTGCCTTGGCTCATAGCCCATTCCTCCATCTTCAAAGACAGCAATGATGGTGAAGTCCTCCTCACAGCTGCCTCACTCTGACCCCTCTGCCATCTCTTCTGCTTTTAAGGGCCATTGTGGCTTCATTGGACCCACTGGAGTACTCCAGGATAACCTCTCTATCTCAAGGTCCTAAACTTAATCACATTTACAAAGCCTTTTTTGCTATGTAAGTAAGATACTCACAGGTTATGGGGATTAGGGTGTAGACATCTTTGAGGGGGCCATTATTCTGCCTACCACAGAGAGGAAAAAATATTTGAAGAAATAATGGTATAAACTTTTTCAAATTTAATGAAATACATACATTTGTAGATTCACTAAGGTTAGCATACCCCAAAACAGGGTAAAAACAAAGAAAACCACCACTAGGCATATCATAGTCAAACATCTGAAAACAAAAGATAAAGAATAAATATTATAAGTAGTCAGAGAAAAATGGCACATTACATACAGGGGAAGGATAAAAATGTTAGCTGACTTTTCATAGAAATGACTGAAAACAGTAGACAGTGGAATAGCATCTTTAATGTGCTGGGGGGGGAAAACCCATACACCCAGAATTTTACATCCAGCAAAAAATCCTTCGAGAATGAGGGAAATAAAGACATTTTTAAACAAACAAAAACTCAGGTAATTTGTTACTAGCAGATCTGCAATTCAAGAAATATTGGAGGAAGTTTGTTGACTGAAGGGAAATGATGTGAGGTGGAAACAGATCTCCATGAAGAAAGGAGAGCATCAGAAATGTTAACTCTCTGGTGAATATAAAAGATAGCTTTTTTCCTCTCAGCTTTAAAAAATACAGGTAACTGAATACAACAAATATTACAACATTTCATCTTGGTATTTATAACATATAACCACGATTGCAAAAAGACAGTGTGGCAGTAAATAGAACCATAGAGTCTCAGTGTTCTTACATGTCACATGACGTGGTACCCTATTAACTGTTAAGTAGACTGCAAAAGGTTAAGGTGACATACTGTAATTCCTACAGCCACCAGCAAAAAGGGCAAAGTGGGGGCCGGCCCTGTGGCTTAGCGGTTGAGTGCGCGCGCTCTGCTACTGGCAGCCCGGGTTCAGATCCCGGGCGTGCACCGACGCACCGCTTCTCCGGCCATGCTGAGGCCACGTCCCACATACAGCAACTAGAAGGATGTGCAACTATGACATACAACTATCTACTGGGGCTTTGGGGAGAAAAAAGGAGGATGATTGGCAATAGATGTTAGCTCAGAGCCAGTCTTCCTCAGCAAAAAGAGGAGGGCCAGCACGGATGTTAGCTCAGGGCTGATCTTCCTCACAAAAAAAAAAAAAAAAAAAAAGAGCAAGACCCTTAAAAAAAAAAAAAAGGGCAAAGTGGTATAGCTAAAAAGCCAATAGGAAAATTAAAATGCACTTCTAAAATATATCAAAGTGAGTCAAGAGAAGGCAGGAAAGGAGAAATAGACGAATAAAACAGATGGACCAACAGAAAACAAAGAGTAAAACAGGAGACCCAAATTCAGCTACATCAATCATTACATTAAATTTAAGTGGAACAGACATTCCAAGTAAAAGGCAGACATTGTCAGACTCAGACTGAATTAAAAAACAGCTAAGTCCTTACTACATGCTGCCTACAAGAGACGTACTTTACATAAGACACTGAGGGGCTGAGAGTAAAATGATGAGAAAGACATGCCTTACCAATGGCAAGCTTAAGAAAGCTGGAGCGACAATATTCCTAACAGAAAAACTACACTTCAAGACAAAGACTGTTATGAGACATAAAAAGGGGTATTTCTTAATGATAACAGGGCAACTAATCAGGAAGATATACAATCCTAAATGTGTATGTGCCTAATAACTGAGTTTCACAATATATGAAACCAGAAGTGATGGAATTAATGGAATAAATAGAAAAAATGACAATCATAGTTGGAGTTTTAGCATCCTTCTTATGTTAATTAATAGAATAACTGGAATAAATCAATAAAGACATTACAGGCTTGAACTATACCTCTAACCACCTTGACGTAATTGACACTGAGAGAACCTTCCATCCAACAAACGGAGAACAACACATTCTTTCCAAGTACATATGGTACACTCATCAAGAGAGATTATATGCTGGGCCATAAAGTGAATCTCAATAAATTTCAAAAGATTGAATCTTACAGAGTTCAGTCTCTGCTCAACCATGGGAATAAGTTAGAAGTAGATAAAAACCACAATATCTAGAAAATTTCCAGATATTTGGACACTAAACAACATCTAAATAATTCATGTGTCAAAAAAGAAATCAAAAGAGAAATAAGAAAATATTTCAAATTTAATGATAAAAGTACAATATATCAAAATTTGCAATGTGCAACTTAAGTAATATTAGGTAGGAATTTATAGCTTTAAATATTTAAGTTAGAAAAGAAGATATACTGGGCCGGCCCCGTGGCTTAGGGGTTAAGTGCGCGCGCTCCGCTGCTGGCGGCCCGGGTTCGGATCCCGGGCGCGCACCGACGCACCGCTTCTCCGGCCATGCTGAGGCCACGTCCCATATACAGCAACTAGAAGGATGTGCAACTATGGCATACAACTATCTACTGGGGCTTTGGGGGAAAAATAAATAAAAAAAAATTAAAAAAAAAAAAAAAGAAAAGAAGATATAAAATCAACGACATAAGGTTCCATGTTAAGATGCAAGTAAAAGAAGATTAAAATAATAAAATAGAAAGAAAGATATAATGAAGATAAGAGCAGTAGCCAATAATATATAAAACAGGCAAACAATACGGAAAATTAACAAAGCCAATACATGGTTCTTTGAAAAGATTAACAAAATTGACAAACTAGACTCAATCAGAAAAAATAAACACAAATTACCAATGTCAGGAATAAAAGAGGGGATACCACCACTGATTCTGCAGACAGTAAAAGGATGATAAGGAAATATTATGAAGAACTTTATTAACAACCTACAGTTAACCTACTGTTACTATCATTTTATGGTAAAATACTGGACGTTTTCTCCCTAAGATCAGGAATAAGGCAAGGATGTCCAGAGTCACCACTTTTTTTTTTTTTTGATTGAGATAACATTGTTTTATAACATTATATAAATTGCAGGTGTATATCATTATATTTCGATTTCTGTGTAGATCACATCATGTTCACCACCCAAAGACTAATTACAATCCCTCACCACACACAGGTGCCTAATTACCCCTTTCACCTCCTCTCTCCCCACTTCCCCTCTGGTAACCACCAATCCAGTCTCGGTCTCTATGTGTTTGTTTGCTGTTGTTTTTATCTTCTATTTATGAGTGAGATCATATGGTATTTGACTTTCTCCCTCTGCACAGTCACCACTTCTAATCAATGTTGTCTTGGAAGTCTTAGCCCAGTGCAATAAATGACAACAGAATAAGAAAATTGTCACTACATGCAGCAATATGGAGACTATCACGAACATAATGTTTAACAAAGGCAGCCACAAAAGAGTTACACGCTCTGTGATTCCATTTATATAAAGCTCAAAAAGTGACAAAGCTAATGATGGTGTTAGAAGTCTAGATGATGGTCACCTTGTTGGGGTAGTGGCTGAGAGAGGGCATGAGAAGGACTTCTGAAGAGTTAGTAATACCGTTTCTTCATCTGGGTGCTGGATACATGGGTATGTTCACTTTGTGAAAATTCAATGCTGTACATTTATGAGTTATTTACATTTCTGTATTATGTTATATTTCAATGAAATTTCATTTAAAAAAAAAAAAAGGAAGAAAAATACATAACAGGTATAAAGATCCAAAAGGAAAAAGTAACATTATTTACAGATGACATAACACTCATGGGGAGAAGGTAAAAAGGAATAACCACTTTGGAAGACAGTAAGGCAGTTTCCTAAGTTAAACAACCTATATAATCCAGCCATTCCACTCCTAGGGATTTACCCAAAGGAAGTGAAAATGCAAAGACTTGTACTTGAATGTTAACAGCAGCTTTCTTTGTAATAGCCTCCCAGATAGCTTCTGCAGGCCCAGAGGGTTCAGGGGAGTCTGGGCTTCGAAGTCCTCCAGTGCACCCCCAGATCTCCACACATCATGTGTCAGGTCCCATGCCTTCACCATCAGGGCCCTGACTTGCATGCAAGAGACTGGTCTAAGTTGAGATCCTTGCCTTGCCTGCAGTTCTGCTGTGTTCCACTAAGTGTGGGCCCTAGTCTTCATTTCTGTCTGCCATCTGGCTGCAGATCTCTTGATATGTGCCTGGTGGCCTATGACACTCACACTTTGCTTTACGCTGCTGATTAACATTTCTCAGCATCATGTTCTCTCCTCAAGGAATCAGCAGTGCTTTGCAATAGCCACTCAGTCCCACAGCTCTCAGAGTTTCTATTTCCCCCTCCCACTCAGGTGCCCATGACCCTGGACCAGCTGCAGCCTCCCCTTCCACTTGTCTCCTCTCCCAGGTCTCCCAGCTGACAGTTTTCACTGTCACACTCCTACCCATCCCAGAGACTATCAGTTCTCCACCTGCCACCAGTGATAGTCCCTCACTGCCACCAGCTGGATCCAATTTCAGAGAGTCATCCTTAGAGTTAGTTCCCTAGGACCACCCACTCCTGGTACCAACTGTTTTAGGTCAAGTTCCCTAGAAGCAAAGCCTGACATGGGGATTCTTGTTCAATGACTTATTTTTGAGGGTGTGCTCCTAGGAGAAGAGTAAAGAAATCTGTATTAGTCTGCTAGGGCTGCCTTAACCAAGTAGCACAAACTATGTGGCTTAAAACAACAGAAATTTATTCTGTCACAGTTCTGGAGGCCAGAAGTCCAAGATCAAGGTGTCAGCAGGGCCATGCTCTAGGGGAGAATCTGTTCTTCCCTGCTTTTCTGGTGTTTCTGGCAATACTTGGTGTCCCTTGGCCCGTAGATGCATTGCTCCAATCTCTCCCTCTGTCATCACACCGCATTCTCTCTGTATGTCTGTGTCCTCATGTGGCGTTCTTCTCTCTGATGTGTCTGCCTCTCTGTCTCTTCTCCTCTTCTTATAAGGGCATCAGTCATATTGGATTAAGCGCCCACCCTACTCCAGTATGACCTTATCTTAATTACATCTGCAAAGACCCTATTTCCAAATAAGTTCACATTTGGGTACAAGGGCTTAGGACTTCGACATCTTATTTTTTTTTTTAAAGCTTTTATTTATTTTATTTTTTCCCCCCAAAGCCCCAGTGGATAGTTGTATGTCGTAGCTGCACATCCTTCTAGTTGCTGTATGTGGGACTCGGCCTCAGGATGAACGGAGAAGCGGTGCCTCAATGCGCACCCGGGATCCGAACCCGGGCCACCAGCATTGCAGCGCGCGCACTTAACCACCAAGCCACAGGGCCAGCCCATCGACATCTCTTTTTTTGTTTTATTTTTCAACTATTTGTTTAACTCTTGATATATAATGCACATACATATATGTAGAGCATTGGCCAGTATATACATAGCTGAAATGTCTACACACCAATATCGAGAAGCATGGACTATTTCTCTGTGATTGGCCAACTTTCCATGTAGCATTAAAAAACAAAGATTATGTAGCAGCGTCAATGGTTAAATATTTCTAAAGTAAACTCGAACTTTAGTGTGTTTTTTCCTGTGCTTTGTTTTCACAAGTGATAGAGGTGATGGCTTTTCCCATGCTGAAGTGTCCCATGTCAACCAGAATATCCTTGAGTCAGTTTTCCTCACCCCCATCACGCTCTTTGAGCCATAGCTCTGGGCCCAGTAATCTACAAAGTGAGATCTCTGGTACTGGTGAGGGCACAGTTCATAATCCCATGGCAGTCACTCTGTCTTGAACAAAATGGAAACTTTATGACAGCATCACATGCTCAGATAAATTTTCACAGAAGTTGGCAGGCCCTTCTGACTGTACCCCAGTTAAAAGTTGGATTGTGCAAGTTGGGAAAAAATTTCTTGACTCCAGAAAGATGAAAGAGAGTGGTATATTAATTTCCTTGGGGCTACTGCTGTTGTAATTCAAGATCCTTTTTAAAGTGTAAAATCTAGAGGCTTACTACATTTAGTACAGAACATTTTTCTGAATTAGGTTTATGTTTTCAACATTTTATGTTTTGAAAAATGTACTTGAGTTTTCACAATATTTCTTTATTAAAATTGTATTTCTTATTTTTGTTTCTTTTTTTCCTTGAAATTAAATATATTTTTAATTTATGATGATTTTTCAATGATTTCTTTTTATTCCAAAGAATAAAGTAAATTCTTTTCTGCCTGGCTCATTGGGATGAATAATAGGATATAGAGAGTTTTATGTGGTAGGTTACAAATCTAGCTCAAATACACCCTAGGCTTGTAATGATCAAAACCTGTTACTGACTGATGGTCTTTTCAGGGTCTTATAAGAAAAAAACTGAAGGGCCAGCCCCGTGGCTTAGTGGTTAAGTGCGTGTGCTCCGCTACTGGCGGCCCGGGTTTGGATCCCAGGCGCGCACTGATGCACCGCTTCTCCGGCCATGCTGAGGCCACGTCCCACATGCAGCAACTAGAAGGATGTGCAACTATGAAATACAACTATCTACTGGGGCTTTGGGGGAAAAAAAAAAGGAGGAGGATTGGCAATAGATGTTAGCTCAGAGCCGGTCTTCCTCAGCAAAAAGAGGAGGATCAGCATGGATGTTAGCTCAGGGCTGATCTTCCTCACAAAAAAAAAAAAAAAAGAAAGAAAAAAATTGAAGTCTTCAACACCTCTCTCTCTTTTGTTTTTTTTTTTTTTTTTGGTGAGGAAGATTGGTCCTCAGCTAACATCTGTTGCCAATCTTTCTCTTTTTGCTTGAGTAAGATGGTCCCTGAGCTAACATCCGTGCCAATCTTCCTCTATTTTGTACATGGGACACTGCCACAGCATGGCTTGGTGAGTGTTGCGTAGGTCTGAAGCTGGGATCCGAACCCGTGAACCTGGCGCTGCTGAAGCTGAGTGCGCAAACTTAACCACTACGCCACCAGGCCGGCCCTTTCAACATCTTTTTTTGCAGCTACAGCAGGAGCACAGGGTGACTAACCATCCTCATTTGCACACTGAAAGTCCTTCCTCCTGGGAAACTGAGATGGTTGGTCACCCTGGAGTGGAGAGGGCTGACCAAGAAGGTGCTCTGTGGTTAGAGGCTAGTGTCCATGTAATCCCACGTGGAAGCACTGGGGCAGACACAGGCCGCTTCACAGATTCGAACCCCCTTGAGGCAAAGCAGGGACGGGCCTTTTGTACTCCATGCCAGTCAGTCCTTGTCAGAGCTCTGCCCCCAGCTTTGGAGGGCTGCTGTATAGGTGGCTCCATCACCCAGCGTAATGCTCCAAGATGGAGGCAGCTGTGTGCCGTTAGCTACCAACACTCAGAGCAGCAGGTGGGTGCACTGACCACTGGAGGGGTCTGGAGAGAATCCCAGCGGCCTCCATGATGCCCTCTTGTCCCTCTCAGCATATGGCCTGCCTTTCCACCTAGCTACCTGGGTAAACGCACACCCAGACTACTGTTCATCTTGGTAAACGCACACCTGTCCACCCAGGTAAGTGGCCCACCCACCCACGCTTGGTAAACGCTCACATGCCCCCAGAGCTCCCCAAGCCTCAAACATTCCCCTAGGTCCCCACCTCCAAATCTCATCAGTTCTACCGCCCCTGTGTGGCCCCTCTGCACTGCCCCTCTCTCAGTGCTAGCCAAATATGCCTGCCACCTGGGCCCTCCAACCCACTCCCAGCCACTTTCACCTCCAAAATGAGCCTCCGCACAGAGGTTGCGGGGATATCTGCCAACGCAAATCCAATCATGGTGCTCCCGCTGCTGCAAACTCGCAGGATAAGAGGATCAGCTGCCTCGTCCCCGTAGTCCTCCAGCCCCTGGACTCTGACACCTCCGTCCATCTGCCCCACTGGGTCTCTGCCTCCTCTCTCCTGGCCCCAGCTCACAGCCCAGCCCCTCTCAGCCCTACCGTGGGGCTCAGTGTGGCCTCCGCAGAGGGGTCTTGTCAGCTGACCCCACCTGGCCTCCACCAGAGGTCTCAGGCCCCCTCCCTCTGCACATACTCGCTGGACAATCCCAGTCGCTCCTGGCTGCCCTCACTTCTGTTTCCCAGGCTGAAGAGCAGACCCAGCTGCATCCCGGACTGGTCAAAGCTGGTCAGTGGCAAAAGGGAGGGGCAGATGGGGGGCAGGGCCTGGGGGGATCCGGAGAAGTTGGGGGAGCATCAGAGGCC